GGGAAAGGAGTTCAGGTTCTATGTTTGAAGATAAATGGGACTTTTTTTTTCTTGGTGTGTGTTCTTGAAAATATTAAGTGTTGTGTAAATGTTGAAATTTGGTAGAATAACAGAAGAGGCAGAATCTCATCTGGGTTTGGAGGATATCAATATGCTGTGAGACCTGCAGAGATCTCATCGGGTGTGCTTTTCTGTAGATGCTAGTGGAAACAGAAAAAAAGTAATTCTAAAAGCATCCAAGGAAATTAAAATTGCAAAAAAAAATTCAGACGGGAAGCGTGTACATAATCATATCAAGAGAAAAATAATTTGAGATACAGATTCTCTATGGAGTGATGGAACCTGGATGAGCATAATAGTGATAGATCTGCAGATAACCTGACATTAAATTAAGGGATACGTTTGTAATAAAAGATAAGATTTTTGCACATTAGTGTGATTGGGGGCGGGGAGGGGGGAGAGAAGTTACAATGATATTAAAAACACTTCATTCTGCACCAGAAATCCCTTATTTGAAAATCTTAGGAAGGTCAGAGAGAAGTAATAAAGTTACCAGGATATTTTGGCTTCTGAGGTGTGATTAAACTCAAAATAAATATGTGCTATCAAAACACCACAAGCAACAGAAGAGAGAACATTTTTCATCCTTCCAACATTTGTAGATAATTGAAAAAGGAAAAGAAAATATTTAAGGGTTGAAATGCATTTAAACTGAAAGGAACGGTATTAACTGAGGGGTAAAAATGTTGAAAATACGATTAGGTAAGGTTTATGGGCTGGCATTTTAAGTAGTGTAAGAGTGAGATTAAACAAAACACTGGAGTATGTCCTTTGGGGAGCAGCCCTGCACCGTTGAGAGGATGGCAGAATTGGTTTTGTTTGTGGCTAATTAGCATTCTCTTCTCCCTATCAAGTGTACAACCAGCTTGTAAATCTAGGTTGTTGTAAGAAAACTGGAAATAGTTTCTGCTGCTGTGTCTTTCCTAGGGTTATTTTATCAATTTTTAAAATTAAAAAAAAAAAAAATCAGGTTAATATTTTAGCTCCTATTTTAAAGACAAGAGAGGGACAGGCACATGGGCTGTATGGAAACACACAGGCACTTGCATATAATGAAATACTGTAAGCACAAGAGCTTGACGAGGAGGCAGTGTGCGGATGGAGTGGAGCTGTCATGACAGGATAAATACTGCCAGCAGGTGACCTGATGGGATTGCTGATACCTGGTTTGCAGTGGGATAGCCATTGGGATAAATACTGCCAGTAGGTGAGTGATGGGGTTGCTGATACCTGGTTTGCAGTGGGATAGCCATTGGGATAAATACTGCCAGTAGGTGAGTGATGGGGTTGCTGATACCTGGTTTGCAGTGGGATAGCCATTGGGATAAATACTGCCAGTAGGTGAGTGATGGGGTTGCTGATACCTGGTTTGCAGTGGGATAGCCATTGGGATAAATACTGCCAGTAGGTGAGTGATGGGGTTGCTGATACCTGGTTTGCAGTGGGATAGCCATTGGGATAAATACTGCCAGTAGGTGAGTGATGGGGTTGCTGATACCTGGTTTGCAGTGGGATAGCCATTGGGATAAATACTGCCAGTAGGTGAGTGATGGGGTTGCTGATACCTGGTTTGCAGTGGGATAGCCATTGGGATAAATACTGCCAGTAGGTGAGTGATGGGGTTGCTGATACCTGGTTTGCAGTGGGATAGCCATTGGGATAAATACTGCCAGTAGGTGAGTGATGGGGTTGCTGATACCTGGTTTGCAGTGGGATAGCATCGTTCCGCCTCTCCTCCCTCCTGTTTGTAAAACTCGCCCTGCAGATCTTGATGGTGGTTTAGGTCAAGTCAGAAGCTGTGTGCTCTGAAGCTGGGAATGGCAGAGTGAGCAGAAGCAGAGGGCTCATGGAGCTGCGCTCCCTTGCGGGGGGGATACCCTGTCCCGCTTTCAGAAGATGCGCTCAGCGTGTGAAAACCCTCTGCAGAGCTGCTAGCTTGTGCCGCAGGGCTGCACTGGCTCGGGGAGTGCGTGCAAAGAACTGAGCACTGGCCCTGGCTGGCATATGCTTGCCTGAATTGTTTTTTTTCTCAGATGGGGCTGCAGAGTTTTGTGTTTGTGCAGGCAGGAAGGCTTTGCAGCAGCTGGGCTCTAGTTAATGAAACTGTCCGTCGTTCGGCGTGGGCCAGGGCTGCAGCTCAGCTTGCTAAGTGGTATTGAATGCCCTTCCCTCTCCTCCCTAGCTGCGGGAGCGCGTGGCCACGTGGCCTCCAGGGCAGGCAGACCGGATAGACTAATGTCAGAGCAAATTTGGGATTCAGCCAGTGTCTGAATGGCCTGGTGCTGACTGGAGGTGTGCTGCATTTATCATTGTTTCCTTCACCCAGAAGGGAAAGCTGCAGGTAGGCTGATAAAGGGACTGAAAGGTTCGTCTGGCTTCACTGGAGGTTCCTCAGGCCCTGCATGCCCTTTGCTGAAAGGCTGCTTGGTAATTCCCACTCTGCCTTCCCTATCCGCGGGATAAGGTCTGCTTGGCTTTTACTCCATTGATTTAAGCATGCTGGTGTCAGAATAGGCTCGAGCACCTCTGGGCTTTGTGGGGGAGGACCCAGGGCTGGAACAGCAGCCAAAATTTAAAATCAGGATTAGTCTGTTGATGTGCACATAAATCAAGCAGCCCTCCTATCGTAAATCTTTTCTGTAGATTTTTTTTTTCCTCTCTTTTTTTGCTGTGGCGGTGGAAGCGGTAGGAGCTGTGCAGCAGCCTGGGCTTCCCAGGCCTGGGCTTCAGTGTTGAGACTGTTCTCCTTTGCCCCAGGTGGCTGAATGCAGCTGCCAGCTCCCTCCTCGGCAAGATCCCTGCAGTAGCTGCAGGGCTGCGCTTTCATGTTTGCTTCGGGTGGTTTTCGGACATGGTGGGGTAGGATTTTTATTGTCTTTTGGGGGTATCTTTTGCACAGTCAGTTTTCTGTTTCTGAGTCATCTGGCTGGTGTCAACTAACTACATCTAAGGCAGTGCTAAAAGCTGCTAAAAAGTCCACTGTCCTAGCATAGAGGTCTCTGTGGGATAGTCTGAGCTGAGAGAGGAGTGGGTAATTAACGCCTTGTGGTATGGATGGTAGTGTTGCTCAGGATTGGGAGAGCGTGAGCGTGCTGCAAGCTTGTCCTCTCAACTCAGTTCCCCACGGCTTTTCAATGTCTTCTGCATGGCCAGCAAGAAGCAAATGGGATATTCCAGCAACTGGTGGCTGAGCACCCATGCTCTGTACACAGTGCAGCCAGAGCAAAGAATTGGGCTGCTACACGGATGGGATTTAAAAAGCGTGCACTATTGTGCTTCTTTTTTATTACTGTAACACAACAGAAAAGAGTGCTCTGAGCCACAGGATGTGCTTGCTTGTAAGCAGAACCGTGGGGATCAGGCTGGAGGAAATGGACCAAGATGTGGTACTTCTAAGGATATCAAAGAACACTTTTCTGTCTGTGTTTCCTTCTCCGTTTCCATGATGTGGTGCCTCTTCCCCCTTCCAAAATAATGCCTTACTGTGTGTAAAGCCTTGTGTGAGATTACAGCGGTATGCAATTTGCAAGCCCCATAATTTGTTCTTCATATGCCACCCGATAGCAAGAAACTTGCCCAAAAGAGATTAAGAAAACGGTGTCATGGCTCAGAGGAGTGAGGCATGCTGTCTTTGATAAAGAAGATAATAGAAGACTGTGTAATATTATGGTGGCAGTGGGTGGGATATTCATGTGAACGCAACGTGTGTGTGTTTCTCAGGCTGATGTTTTGATCCATCTTCTGTGGTATAAAGCTGCTTTCTCCTTTTCCCTTTCTTCAGGGTAACCAGGAGCCAGCAGCAACTCCTGATGCAATGGTGCAGCCATTCACCACAATCCCATTTCCGCCACCCCCACAGAACGGGATTCCCACGGAGTACGGGGTGCCACACACTCAGGACTATGCAGGCCAGACCAGCGAGCACAATCTGACGCTCTATGGAAGCACGCAGCCGCACGGAGAGCAGAGCACGAACACGGCCAGCACGCAGAACGGATCTCTTGCAGTAAGTGCCCAAGGGTGCGGGTCCAGGAGAGCAGCACGGTGCTTTGGGAAAAAGCAACTGTGGATTAGATTGCTGACTGTTTCTTAAGGATGCAGCAAATCATCTGTAGACTTGAGAAGGAAAGAATTATTAAAAAAACCCATAGCTTCTAACCTTCCATTACTAGATTCCCATCTTTCTCCTTATGCATTTTCCCCTTGTAAATAAGTGTCTGCAAAGACCAGTAGCACTTGCAGTCTTGGTATTTTTAACATTGTGGCATTGTCCAAAGACAGTCCTTTACAAAAGTGTTAATTACCTTGAGTTAATTGATGAATGGTTCAAATGAGTGTGTTGGAGGCTAATTCTGCAAGGTTGATGGCACAAAGAATTAGGGTGAGCGCGTGCATTGTAGGTGTAACCCCAATATGTTACTGTTTTCAGGAAGCTAACAGAGTAGAAAAATACTTCCCTTTGACTTTCTGAAGATGGCAGGGAGCTTCAAGGGGCAAGGACAGGAGAAGACCTCTCGGCTACTGGGCATCCATTTGCCAAACAAAGGTTTTTTTTTTTTTCCCCTTCTTATAGTTTTTTTTTCTTTCTTTTTCCCATGGCCTGGAACTGGCACTGGACAACATGCTGGCAGATTATCCCAGGAAAAGCTTTATCCGCCCCTTAAGCCACTTGTTAAGACTTAACTTCCTAATAAAGAGCCTTATGGTGAGAGCCTTCGGTGCTCAGAGTTGGATTTAATCTGTTAATGCTTTCAGTTTTACTTGTAGTTCGGTGTTTGGTTTGTAGAGATTATTTTTCCCCCTGTAAGTACGGAGTGAATTCAGTGCCAATGATTGGAAGAACTGATAGTGCCAGCTTAAGCGTGCGTGGTTCCTGGTGTGCAGCTCTGCTTTTTCTGCAGTGGGCAGTGGCTGCACAGTTGGCAACGCTGGTCATTACTTTGATAAAACATCTTTGAGTTTATCCCAGGAACACTGCAACTTCTATGTCTTGTAGAAGAAGAGAGTGTAAGGCACATTGGTGGTGTATAAAAGGAACTTAAAACTTGGAGCTGATGCAGCGTGCAGAAATGCAAGTCATCATTTCAGTACCAGATTGTCCAATGTCCTTCTAACCTGTAAGATCTGGGCTGCCTGTCTCCAGCAAGCAGCTTTCTCGAGCACTGCCAATTGGATGAGAAGGCTGGAAACAGGGAACAAAACAGCGCAGTGGCTTTCCCCATCTTTTTTTGCTGTTCCCATCCTTGCCCAGGGCTCAAGAGTGTTTCTTTTTAATGGAAATGATGCAAGCCTTGACCTTGGATGTAAGTTCTTGCCAACCCTCCTGCTCCTCTTCCATATTAGGAGCCATCTCCGCGGTGCTGCAGGGATGAGCTCTGTGTTTCATCAACTAATGCCGGCTCCGAGGAGCCCACAGCACGCGGGTAGACTGGCTGGCCTGTGAGAAGGGACTGGGAGCCCATCTGTGCGGGAGGGAGCGTTGCTGGGAGACTGCTGGGAGGCAGCAGTGTTGCCAGGAGGCTGCAAAGGGATCCTGACTGGCAGGGGTTATCTGAGAAACGGGCTGAATAATACGTAATGCTTGTACTGGCTGTTGGAAACAGGTGGGCACGTCTGGTCTGACCATTTGACGTGGTTAAAGATGTGCAAGCTGAGCGTGCAGAGTCGGGCTCGCAGACCATAGCTAGCCAGGGAGGTGTGAGGGTGCAGACGAGTGCATTCCTGTTGCTGCTGCTGTGGCTGGGACTGATCAAACCCAGAGAATCCCAGATGGTGGCACATGGAGAAATCCAGGGAGAGGGGGAAGGGACCTCAGCCAAGGACCTTTCACATGCACTGAGTCCTGGATCTTCTGAGTCCCTTTATCTTTCTGTCTAGATTCCTTTCTGTATCAAGTGGTTTTGATTTGGTGGAGTGCCTTGGGATGTAGTTGCTTTTAACTTTTCTCCTTCTCAGTATGCTGATTGATGATGTAGGAACTAAGGGAAGGAGGATGGCTCAGTAGTTACTCAAGCTAAAGCATGCTACTAAAAAATAGCAGAACAGGTTAGTTATTTCACCTTGAACATCTGCAGCTAGCGTCAAGCTTCTTGTCGGTCGCATACACTAGTTAGTACTTGTTTGACATACATGTTCAATCCATGTGGTCTAGACTACCATGCTTTAAGGCATCTTTTCCTTTCACCATTTTGTTGTTTTGCTCAAACAAGTGCTAACTTTGAGAGCGAAAAGTCATCGTGGGTGATATGTGATCCTTCCCTCCCGTTACTGCGCCTGGCCAGTGCAGCTGCTGTCGTGTGTGTGAAGGCAATACCCCAGACCGAACAGCCGGAGGACTTTTTAGCTGCTGACTTGAAGCCTGTGCTCCCATGGGACGATTCAGAAATTCCTTCAGCCAGACAGATAAGGTCTCTCCTTGCTTCTAAGAAAAAGGCCTGTGCTTGGTCCAGTTATCAGGACAGAGTAAGATAGTGGAAGGTGTGCTGAGACAGTGGGGATTTCCTGCTTTTCAGGCTGAAAGCCTTTAGGATCAGTTACAACAGTAACGGAATATGGGATGGCTTAAAGGTCCCTCATGGAAAGGGGAGTTTTATCTGGTGGGTAATATGTTATGCAGCAACGTAATGGGATGTATAACAGGGTCCCTAACACACTGGGTGGGAGCGTTTTTTCGTAGAAACTTGGCAGATTTTGGCGATCAAGTCAGATTGAATGATTTGAGATTAGCAAGGGTGTCTGAGTTAATAGACAGTGATCTGTAAGCCTGAGGTCAAACATCAGCAGTAAACTGAAGTAATATAAACTTTGAGAGTCAAAGGCCATGCCCTCCTACACAGTCTAAAATCCCCGAGCAAAGGGGCATGACTGGTTGGTGTCACCAGCTAAGGATGAGCTTGTTCTGGAGGTCTGAGTGTGGCGGAAAGCATTCAAAGCTCTCGGAGCAGTGGCATGGAAAAGAAATTGGCACAATAGGTGGTGTAATACAAACAGCTTAATATTTTGGAATCTTTTTTTATTTTAGCATCAAGCCTCATCTGTGGGGCTTTGTTTCTTGCCTGGCATGCGAGTGTTCATCTCCCAGCATCTGTCCTTTCTCTTGATACTGTCCCAAAGCACAGCTGAAAGACCTGGATTAAAAATAGACTGAGGTACCGGACCATATTTGGCCTACTCAGTCTGACTGTTGCAGCCTGTCTGCTAAACCATTGACACTTTGCATTTCACTTCTTATGGTGCTGGATCGCCTGGTTTCTTCCCCCTTCCCCCTTGGTTTACATTACTGTGCTTATCCCTAATGGAGCCACCCAGCGCAGAGCCCTGCAAGTGGAGATGCTAATTAGGCTGCAGTACCTCTGGCAGCTGATCTGATCTAAAGATTCGGTGCTGTCAGAATGGAGAGATCTGGCTCCAAGCACAAACTCCCACTCCTGTTTACTGGCTCTGGCATTCCTTACGTGAGGCACTTTAATTCACTGACCTGGCAGAAAGCTGTCCAATTCCTTTGCTGGGTTAATGAATTAGAGCAGCTCTTGGAGGGATCTAGCAAATGCTGTTGTTGCAAGGTGAGCGTATGGAGTGCATGGCCAGGAGCCGAGAGCAGTTGTCAGCTCGCTGCATCTCCTGGTACTCTACCCGCAGAGGGAAGATTAATCATCTGCTGAACTAAAAAAGCTTGCTTGATAGTAAATGCAGTGCACTTAATACTGTGAGCTGATTATTCAACTCGTTGCTCTTGTTAATGTCAAGGGGAGGAATTTGTGCATCTGTGTAAATTACGGAATGCAGCTGGAGGTAGAGAAGTAGAGGAATAAGTTTATGTAAATTACTTTGGATGAAAATGGCAGATGCTGTCACCTTGGTGGTACGTTGTCATGAACCAATATAAACCATCATTTAATTACAGAGCATCATGTCTCTCGTCTTCTTGATACAGAAATATATTTAACTCATCTGCTATACTGTAAAGGGATCTCGACTTTCTGATTTCTTAAAGGAGACACATCTGTGGTGAGAATCCCCCACGTATCGTGTTCAGAAGCAAGACAGGGAAGCTGCTTGGTCATCTGGTTGTGTCTCATACATCTAGCAAGGGTTTGGAAACAAGAGAACCAACAACACCAAGGGTTCCTCAACTGACTTTTGTAACACATGGATGATGTTATAATGATGATATTCCCTTGAGTATTTCTTGCCTAGTCTGAGACTGCAGGATTTTCCTCTGTAATTATTTTTCATTGCTTTAGTAATTAAAGCAATTGCTCATGTGAGGTATTTCAGGTGAAGAATACGTTTAATAAATATCCTCTCTTTTGATACTGCTGAGCTTATCTGAGGTAGACACGAGGGAAAACTAGCTTCAAATAAGTAGCTAGCTGCTGATTGTTTGGCCACCTCAGCTTGGAAATTGCTATCTTGAAGTAGCAAACTCTGACATTTAACATCGGGAGTTTGCTTTGAGTATGAGGCAGATTATTGTCAGTACTTGTAGACTTGTGTCTAGTGAGGCAGATTTAAAAATTATTTTAAAAGAGAAATAGGAAATAAATCGGCAAATATCATTATGTTAGAGTATACAGCTGTGGCACTTTTGCATATCTCTCAAAAGTTATAGCAGATCTAGAAGTAGTAAAGGGAAGGATAATGGTAATGATGAAAGGGATGTAGCAGGTTCTTTATGAGAAAAAATGAAATCTTCACTTATGAAAAGAGCTGGCAGGAGTGAAGGCATATGACAAGTGCAGAGACTTCGGAATGGTATGGGAAATAAAACAGGGAACTCTCCCATTTTCACTTATTAGGATGCATGCAGGAAATAATCAGGTGGCACGTGTTGAAAAAAAACTTTTTTTTCCATATAATGAATTTAGTTGTGGAGCTCTTGTCCATGGGATTCTTTGAAAGTTGAGGCTATAAACAGGCTCAAAAAACTCATTAAGCCTTTTAATGGGTGATAGATTCATGGGCAGTGACTGGCTACAACGATGTGAATTGGCTCAGTTTGCTGGG